GCCATGTTTGACAAGTCGGTACACAATGGCTGCACACTTTGCTGGCAATAGCTAAATACAAGCTAGCTTTGATCAATCATAACATGGTGGGCAACAAAGTAAGTATTTCTTTGTCTGGAATGTTACTTAGCAAATAGAGTGAATAAAATAAGGTTAAAAGTTAAAAACACTTTGGTGTCAACGATTTTAACTGAACCAATGCAAAATAGGTACATGAAAAACATAAACCCAACGATATAAGAAGCACCTTCTTTTTTAAAATTGACTCCAAGGTTCATCGGGTCATTGAACGACTCGGAGAGAAAGAAAGAGAGAGAGTATAAAATTTAGTTAAATGTTATTATTTAGTCAAATGTTAGGTATTTGTTTATTCCGCCTCCATTGTCGCTGTTACACTGAGCTGTTGCATTGTACGCCATGTTTGACTAGTTGGTACACAATGGCTGCACACTTTGCTGGCAACAGCTAAATACAGGCTACCATTGATCAATCATAACTTGGTATGGGCAACAAAGTAAGTATTTCTTTGTCTGGAATGTTACTTAGCAAATAGAGTACCTAAATAAAATAAGGTTAAAAGTTAAAAACACTTTGGTGCCAACGATTTTAACTGAACCTATGCAAAATAGATACATAAAAAACACAGGTAAACCCTATGATATAAGAAGCACCTTCTTTTTTAAAATTGACTCCAAGGTTCATCGGGTCATTGAACGACACGGAGAGAGAGAAAGAGAGAGAGTTTAAAATTTAGTTATATGTTATTATTTTGTCAAATGTTGGGTATTTGTTTATTCCGCCTCCATTGTTGCTGTTACACTGAGCTGTTGCATTGTACGCCATGTTTGACTAGTTGGTACACAATGGCTGCACACTTTGCTGGCAATAGCTAAATACAGGCTGGCAGTGATCAATCATAACATGGTATGGGCAACAAAGTAAGTATTTCTTTGTCTGGAATGTTACTTAGCAAATAGAGTGAATAAAATAAGGTTAAAAGTTAAAAACACTTTGGTGCCAACGATTTTAACTGAACCTATGCAAAATAGAAACATGAAAAACATAAACGCTAGGATATAAGAAGCACCTTCTTTTTAAAATTGACACCAAGGTTCATCGGGTCATTGAACGACTCGGAGAGAGAGAAAGAGAGAGAGTTTAAAATTTAGTTAAATATTATTATTATTTTGTAAAATGTTAGGTATTTGTTTATTCCTCCTACATTGTTGCTGTTACACTGAGCTGTTGCATTGTACGCCATGTTTGACTAGTTGGTACACAATGGCTGCACACTTTGCTGGCAATAGCTAAATACAGGCTAGCATTGATCAATCATAACATGGTATGGGCAACAAAGTAAGTATTTCTTTGTCTGGAATGTTACTTAGCAAATAGAGTGAATAAAATAAGGTTAAAATTTAAAAACACTTTGGTGCCAACGATTTTAACTGAACCAATGCAAAATAGATACATGAAAAACATAAACCCTACGATATAAGAAGCACCTTCTTTTTTAAAATTGACTCCAAGGTTCATTGGGTCATTGAACGACTCGGAGAGAGAGAAACAGAGAGAGTTTAAAATTTAGTTAAATGTTATTATTTTGTCAAATGTTGGGTATTTGTTTATTCCGCCCCCATTGTAGCTGTTACACTGAGCTGTTGCATTGTACGCCATGTTTGACTAGTTGGTACACAATGGCTGCACACTTTGCTGGCAATAGCTAAATACAGGCTTTGTGAGTTGATGTGTATTTAGGTATGCTACACAGTCCTCTGAATGACTCTCAAACTTTTGTCTGACGTGTGACTATTTTTGATAGCCGTTTACGCTCTGCGTACCCCGCAAGGGATATAGGCAGGCGTGTATATGTATGCATGTATGTATATTATGAGAACCACAATATTTCCACTTGAATTGCACACACGGCTGTTTCATTCAACGCAAGCGTATGGATTACAAAGCGACAGACAAACACATTTGTTTATTCCGCCCCCATTGTAGCTGTTACACTGAGCTGTTGCATTGTACGCCATGTTTGACTAGTTGGTACACAATGGCTGCACACTTTGCTCGCAGTAGCTTAATACAGGTTGGCAGTGATCGACCACTTATCATAATATACAAACACGGTATGGCGAACAAAATAAGTACCTAAATTGTTTATTTTTGCTATGAAATGTTACTTAGCAAATAGAGTTAAAAGTATAAAATAACGTTAAAAGTTAGAAACACTTCGGTGCAAACAGTTTAACTGAACCTATGGAATATAAGTAGATGAAGAACATAAACCTACAGTACGGCCATTCGAATCAGCCATATTCGACAGCTGTCAAAATCATGTTATGTTATTCTATGACAAAAGGTCTATATTTCTTTGATGACATGTCTTTTTATATGGGTTTGTCAGCTGTCAAATATGGCCTATTCGAACGGCCGTACTGTAAAGATTTAAGAAGCACCTACTTTTTTTTTAATTAGTTAAATGTTATTAATTTGATAAATGTTATTTGTTTATTCAGCCGTGTGTGCAGACACTGCTGTTTCATTCAGCGCAAGCGTATGGATTACAAAGCGACAGACAAACACATTTGTTTATTCCGCCTCATTGTTACTGTTACACTGAGCTGTTGCATTGTACGCCATGTTTGACTAGTTGGTACACAATGGCTGCACACTTTGCTGGCAATAGCTAAATACAGGCTGGCATTGATCAATCATAACATAACTTTGATCATAACATGGTATGGGCTACAAAGTAAGTATTTCTTTTTCTGGAATGTTACTTAGCAAATACAGTGAATAAAATAACGTTAAAAGTTAAAATACTTTGGTGCCAACGATTTTAACTGCAAAATAGGTACATGAAAAACATAAACACTACGATATAAGAAGCACCTTCTTTTTTAAAATTTAGTTTAATGTTATTGTTATTACATTGTTGCTGTTACACTGAGCTGTTGCATTGTACGCCATGTTTGACTAGTTGGTACACAATGGCTGCACACTTTGCTGGCAGTAGCTAAATACAGGCTGGCAGTGATCGATCACTCTTATACAAACGCGGTATGGCGAAAAAAAAATAAGCATTACTTAGCAAATAGATTAAATGCAATAATCAACAAATTCAGAACCTCAACTAAAACACATACAAATACGGTATGGCAAAAATATTTTTAAGCAATACTTAGTGATTAAACGAACTTACCTAAAGTGAAGTTCTATCATAATTATACGAGCACCTCGTCCGAAGAGATAAGTAAATAACACCCACCCCCCCAAACCCAATCTCTATGTTCTGGAAATAGGAAGTTCTGGAGAAGAGAGCTCTAAACATTCAACGCAAGCGTATGGATTACAAAGTGACAGACAAACACATTTGTTTATTCCGCCTCCATTGTCGCTGTTACACTGAGCTGTTGCATTGTACGCCATGTTTGACTAGTTGGTACACAATGGCTGCACACTTTGCTGGCAATAGATAAATACAGGCTGACAGTGATCGATCACTCATAATAATATGCGGGGTGTTGTAACGAAAACTTTGCAGGCGTGCTCAGATCATGAAACTGAACAACTTTTACTATAGAGCCAATGGTGGGAAACGAAAAAAAATTTCCGACGTCCCGTACAAAGTCAGTCAGCTGATCGTGAATTTTGTATGGGAGGTCGGAATTTTTGTTTTCGTTTCTCACCATTGGCTCCGTAGTAAAAGTTATTCAGTTTGATGGTCTGATCATGCCTGCAAAGTTTTCGGTACACCGCCCTAACACCCTGTACAAATATTTTCAGGCTAGGTACTATGTTCTTCTCATAAAACTGCACAATAGTCATAAAAACTTTTACGAGAAAAAGTTGTTTCGTTTTGTGAGTAGAACACATCCCTAAAAACATAAAGTTAGCCTTATATTAAACTATGCCGGAAATAATGCGGTGCTTGTGAGAGCCGTGTGATGCTGGCTTAGGATGGCATCACCCCATATCTTTCTCGAGGGTGTCTTAAGAAACGACTAAGGGATTTGTGAGTTGATGTGTATTTAGGTATGCTACACAGTCTTCTGAATGACTCTCAAACTTTTGACGTATGACTATTTTTGATAGCCGTTTACGCTCTGCGTACCCGCAAGGGATATAGGCAGGCGTGTATGCATGTATGTATATTATGAGAATCACAATATTTCCACTTGAATTGCACACACGGCTGTTTCATTCATCGCAAGCGTATGGATTACAAAGCGAGACAGACAAACACATTTGTTTATTTCGCCTCCATTGTTGCTGTTACACTGAGCTGTTGCATTGTACGCCATGTTTGACAAGTTGGTACACAATGGCTGCACACTTTGCTGGCAACAGCTAAATACAGGCTAGCATTGATCAATCATAACATGGTATGGGTAACAAAGTAAGTATTTCTTTGTCTGGAATGTTACTTAGCAAATAGAGTAAATAAAATAAGGTTAAAAGTTAAAAACACTTTAGAGCCAACAATATTAACTGAACCTATGTAAATTAGATACATGAAAAACATAAACCCTACGATATAAGAAGCACCTTCTTTTTAAAATTGACACCAAGGTTCATCGGGTCATTGAACGTCTCGGAGAGAGAGAAAGAGAGAGAGTTTAAAATTTAGTTAAATGTTATTATTTTGTCAAAATGTTATTTGTTTATTCCGCCTCCATTGTCGCTGTTACACTGAGCTGTTGCATTGTACGCCATGTTTGACTAGTTGGTACACAATGGCTGCACACTTTGCTGGCAATAGCTAAATACAGGCTGGCAGTGATCGATCACTCATATAGAGGCAGAACTACGGTACGGCAAAAAAAAAAGCATTACTTAGCAAATTGATTAAATGCAATAATCTTTAAAGCTCTCTCTCAACAATTTTGGAACCTCAAATTTTCTACTTTCAAGTAATTTCTAAAACTAAGAATAAGTTGCAAAACTATCCCGGTAGAGAAGCCCTGCGACACGTCCAAACAGGTTAGGATAGAACTGCGGTTGCCCAGTTGGTAGTGGCTTTGACAGTACAGATGCCGAAGGTAGCAGGTTCATGTCCTGCCTGCGGTAGAAAATCTTGCAAGTTTTCCAAGAAGAAGAAACAAAACCACACAATATGTTTTTAAAATTAAAACATTTTAGTAAGTACGAACTCTTGTCCACGTTCAATATGGTATTATTATCATGCGTGTGAGTATTATGTTATTTAACAAGCAGATATAGGCAGGCAAACAAGAAAAGTCTTGGATTATCTGAAGATTTGCGGGAACTCGATCCATGGGCTTAAATTCTTTGTTACTCGGTGACTTCATCCCTCGGCGCGACGCGACGGCGCCGGGACGCCCCGGAGTCTGCAAACATTTCGCATAAACACATCAGAGAAAATAATATTCAAAAGGAAGCCCCATATCTGAGTAGTTCACGATACGTCAGTTTCTCGATATGGAAAACGGGATGAGTGTTTCTGGCCCATCATTATCTTCCTGCTCCTATCCCAATTACTTGGGGTCGGCGCAACACGTTTTGTTGAACACAAAATCGTGATACAAAGGATTTGGCTTAATTTTACGACCGGCCGCCTACCAGACGTCAACCCTCCTTGGGAATGCTCTTGTGGTGGATTAACCGCCACCATACGGTTGGCCTTGGCTGTTTGGGTCGGGTTTATCCCTCGGTCGCCTCTTACGACCCCCATGGGAAGAGAGGGGGTGGTGCTATTCTACTCTGCCGGCACCACACGGCTAAATTTTTATCATACATGAGTGTTTCTGGCTAATCGGCGACAATTCGCGATTCGATTCGGTTGCTTGGAGGACTTCCTCTGCCCGTTTTTTTTTTTCTATAAGCATAAACGTCCACTGAACTTTCATCCTTATGGTGTCTACAATAATGGTTGTTCTCCTACAGAATAACGAATGAACTGGTCAATTGGCCAGTTATGGATAAAGCGCCGAATTCCAAAATACAGAGTTTACAGAAGGTTCACTCGAACCTATTAAGGATTTTCGCGAATCATCATCTTCCTGCCTTATCCCAATTACTAGGGGCCGGCGCAACACGTTTCGTTGAACACAAAATCGTATTGCAAAAGGATTTGGCCGAATTTTACGACCGGCCTCCTACCAGACGTCAACCGTCCTTGGGAATGCTTTTGTGGTAATTTAACCGCCACCATACGGTTGGCCCTGGCTGTTTGGGTCTGGTTTATCCCTCGGTCGCCTCTTACGACCCCCACGAGAAAAGAGGGGGTTATTCTACTTTGCCGGCACCACACTGCAATCAAGGATTTTCACGAATGTCACTTGTTACATAGCCAGGGTTGCTAGATTCTATACGAGGACGAAGTACAGCTAAATCTGACGCAAGAATGTAATATTACGATTCTGAGCCAATTTCAATGCGAGAAATATGGCAACCATCTTGAGCTCCTCTGAGATTTCAGTTTATTCCAGTAAACGCCAGTAAGCGTCAAAATCGTCGGTAGTACTGAGTGAGCCATCTGTAAAGGCGCCCTGCAAGCCGTCTCCTTAATTTGTGACTGAATTGTGTTATGTTCATATCGAATCTTGCCAAGACTCGAGGGAATCGGCCACTTTAACTTAAACGCGTTAAAGTTACACTGGCGCAAAGTTTTACTTGGTCCAAAACATGGACGTATAAAAGGGCGGACAGAATGCCAGTTATGTCAAAACTGAATAACCGTAATGGCGGCGGATAAACTTGTGTGAGTGAATTAGGGTTGCCATGTTAGGATTATTTTTACCAATAAAACACAGTTATTAATACGATTATATTGAATTGTTCTATTTACGACTTACATCCCATATGTTGAGTAAGTTTTTATAATACGTTCTTTTGCTTTGAGAAATTCTTGTCTCGTTTTCTAATTTTAAGATGTGGTGAAACCGAATTTTTTGAACCCACCCACCCAATAATTACCTATACTTTAGGGAAATTTATAACGTGAATAATGGCAACACCAGCCCTCAGTTGGAGGCTAATTTAAATAATTTAAAACATGAAAATGAGTAATCAAATTATTAATTTACCTGTGAAACGTGATTCCCGAACTTTTATTCCTTTGATCTCTGCTGTTTTTTCAAATTTTTACAACGCACGACATGATGTTTTATTTTTGTTTATTTTGCAAAAATCGGTAGGGTATGCTGACGTTTGCGTTCGGAATGGCTGGGTTTGGTGTGAATGTGTGCGTGCGTTCTTGTACGTACAGGCAACTGGCTGACTTGGGGCTACACAGAGGTTTTATTAGCGCGACTCTGTCCGCCCTTTTATACGTCCATGGTCCAAAAGTTTTTTTTTTTTTTAAATCTAGAAAGATGTTTATTACTGTAAAATAGAAAGTGTGGTTTTATTCAGTTCAAGCGAAATATACAGGATGGTACCGTACGACCTACTTTCCCAAAAATGCTTTGTTCAACTGGTCAAAGTACACCGCAGGATATTATGTAGGTGAAAAAAAAGCTGCGTGAATTTTTCTAATTTTTTGATATGTTATGTATCATAGCGTATTTGAAAAAAAAATGTGAGGGGCAAACACTTTCTATGTCTGGTTTTGGAGATAATGGCGTTTATGTGGACGTCTTCCCATACAAATGGCAAAATTCGCCGGTTTTCAAATAAGTTGATTATTCTCACTTTTTACAATGAAAACTGATATTTTTTACTTTAAGAATATACTCATAGATTATTTAGGGTCATTTTTTCGATACAAACATATCCTGTCCGGCTTATGGTTTTTATGATATTTCGCCAAACATCAATATTTTTAGGGAAAATATTGGTAAACTTGAGTTATTTTTGAAATGAATGCGTGAGATTTATTTTTTATTTTTTCATGCGATAATCAACTTAACAGTTAATAAAAAATGATGAAATAAAAAAACATTCTATGTCTAGTTTTTTCGTTACAGGGATTGAAAGTATATTTTGGTAGTCGTCCATACATACTTTCAAACTCATATGACAAAAAATCTAGACATAGAATGTTTTTTTATTTCATCATTTTTTATTAACTGTTATGTTGATTATCGAATGAACAAATAAAAAATAAATCTCACGCATTCGTTTCAAAAATAACTCAGGTTTAGCAATTTTTTCCCTAAAAATATTGATGTTTGGCGAAATATCATAAAAACCATAAGCCGGACAGGATATGTTTGTATTGCAAAAATGTCCCTTAATAATCTATAAGCATATTCCAAAAGTAAAAACTAACAGCTTTCATTGGAAAAATATGAGAAAAATCGTCTTATTTGAAAATAGGTGAATTTTGCCATTTGTATGGGAAGTCGTCCACATAAACGCCATTATCTCCAAAACCAGACATAGAAATTCTTCGCCCCTCACATACTTTTTCAAATACGCTATGATACGTACGATATCAAAAAATTAGAAAAATTCACGCAGCTTTTTTTTCACCTACATTTCCTGCGGTGTACTTTAATAATTCTGTGCCCAAAGAACATACGTCCAAAAAGAAGTAATTTTTTTTAACCTTGGACTTTGGAAATTTAGGATTCAGTTTCATCGATTGAGCTAAACATTTCCCAGAATGTTACTACCGTTTGCCACCACGCCCTGTATGTTTGTTTCTGAAAAATGTATAATTATTTATTAACTACACTTGTTACAAATAAGTATACTTACATTGCTTACATGAAGAAAACATATGGGCCGTTGTCGCCTGAGAAAGACGTTTTTTGCGTTACCTTTCACCAAAAGATATACTGATTGATTCCGAAGCTGATCTTAGCGCAGTGGAAGCAAATTAAAGTTATCTTAAAATCTAAAACTAAATGGTCGATCAGCCTCGGAACAACATTTGACTACGATTCGTAGTGCTCTTTACTATAGCTAAACAAAATAAATTTAATGAGAGAATTTTGTTCCGGAAAGTTTCCGGCCGAGAAATTCTTGTTTCCAAAATCTACTTAAACAGGGCCCAGCAACGAATTGCTTACCGAGCAAACGATGATGCCGTTTCTTTGTGAGTTTAAGTATGACAGGAATCAGGTATTCAGGACACTTTAGGAGCGCAGGAATAGGAATAACCTAAACTCACAGCGCTGGAACATCCGCTCGTTCTAGAACTCCTTTCCTCCAATTTGCACTACAGTTCACAGCTCGACATCACATAATGTTTTTTAACACAAAATAACTAAAAGATTTCTCTCCGAATGAGAAATCGGCCCCGTTGGCCTCCAATCATTTATAATTAAAATACGTAGCTATCGGCAGCCACGACGACGACGAGCGACGACTCAAAGTGAGGTTATGTTACCGGCGACCACGTTGGCCTCAATCAAAAAGCCGAAACCAAAATTCACTTGGTTCACTTCCCCACCGCACAGGGAAGCCATGGCTTGTGGCAAATAGCACACGAGAAAACCGCCAAAACACCTTAATTTTACACCACTTAAAACTAAAATTCGCTTCAACAACGCTAGCGTAAAGATGACAGACGGGGCGGACCGAAAAGTGTTGCCAGCACCGTCCGCTCAAAAAGATACGAAACCGTTTTTTGATACGAAACTAAACATATACGAAAATAAACTCTATGGTAATTGGAATAAAGTTGACTTTGGCTAAAATGAGAAACGTCCGGTTGTCTACGGTGGATCTACGGGCTCTACAATTTCGTAGCAGCGTCTACAAGCGTCGTAGTCGTTGCTACGCTCAGTTGCTACGAAGAATAATAAATTCATTTCATCAGAACAAAGCTAATTTACTCTCGTTTTCATTAGTGAAATAGAGTAAATGAGGTTAAAGAAATGAAAATACTTTTCTTACTTTGTTTTGTGAACAAGATTTCACACTTGGTGAATAAAAAGTAATCCTAAAAGAATAGGCCAACGCACATATAGGGTAAAATTTAACTAGTGACCGATAGCAAAAACTCAGAACCGAAAAAAATTTACCTCCCATAGTAACTCAAATCAGCTGATCGGCAATTTTGTATGGGAGGTCCAAAAATTTTTTTCGTGTTTCGACCTATGTTTCTTGGGGAAAGTTGTTCCTTGTCACCAGCTGGTTCTGAGGTTTCGCTATCG